CATCACTTAGCAAAAGTGATAGTCATATCAAAATATTTTCCGTTTCAGGTCTGCAAACATGGATGAGTACCAACTGTGGGCGCCCTTCGCCAAAAAGTACACTGTGCACGAGGAGACGTACCTGTGGACCCGAAACTTGCTGGCCAGCGGACTCAAGCCGTACAATGAACTCGGTTTGGAGAAGGCGAGACAGCATATCAATGAGAGGACCAAGATGCTAACCCCCGTAACTGACTACAGCGGTGATGAGTGGGAGGTAATTGTGCCCTCTCCAGCGGACTCAAGCCGTACAATGAACTCGGTTTGGAGAAGGCGAGACAGCATATCAATGAGAGGACCAAGATGCTAACCCCCGTAACTGACTACAGCGGTGATGAGTGGGAGGTAATTGTGCCCTCGCCCTACTCAAAAGACGGAATCCCAGTAACGGTGTATAAACCTTCCTCGGCACCGGAAGTTCCCGCCATATTCATGTATTTCCATGGAGGCGGTCTCCTCTTGGGGAATCGCAAAATGAGCGAGGGGGCCCTCAAGATTATTGCAAGGGATTCCGGGGCCATCATCCTGAACGTGGATTACCGGTTGTTACCAGACCCGGTATTCCCTTTCGCCCCTTTTGATGACGGGGTGGTTGTCACCAAATGGGTTTTAGAAAACAAGGAAGCAGTCGGTGGTAACCGGGATAGTAAAGTCGGCGTCGGGGGTGAAAGCAGTGGTGGTCACCTCGCCGCCAGCGTCACGAACGACGTTCGAGGGCTGGACTTCCAGGTTCTCATCTACCCCATGACGGACACGACCTTGTCCAGTCCAACCATCCAAGAGTTCGCTGAATGCCCGACTTACCATCCAGCGGATGTCAAATGGTATCTGGACACCATGGCGGGACCCATCCCCGACTACAGCACCAACCCAAGGATCAACGTCATGGTGCGCACCAACACCGGGGACTCCCCACCGGCCCTCATGATCCTCTCGGAGCTCGATCCTATGAAGGGCTGCGGGCTCAACTACGCCGACAAACTGAGAGCCGCCGGGGTGAGCGTTCAGTGTGAGATCATCAAGGGCGTCCCTCACGTCTTCTTCTCGTTGCGCGACGTGTTCAAGACAAAATGCGTTGAAGCCTACGCCCATGTCGTCAAATTTCTAAAACAATTCCAGTCTTAAACTATTGACCAACACTCCCTGACGCGACAAACATTATTTTAAACCGATTTACCGCGAACAGCCCTAATTGCCTGAAGTAGCATAATCATCGAGAGAAAAAAAATAAAACTTGGATTATTTAATCAGTCGTATTTATTTTTATACTTTAGCGTATTTATAAACAGAGTTTTACTTCAGATTCTCATGTTTCAATAATTAGATTGCTCAGTACCTTGTTCAATGCGAAACTACACATGGATGGTCGTAGTGTTGATATATATGAAGTTTCATAAGAGGACTTTCTTTCCCATCTCAGATCATATTAAATTACTTGAACAATCAATAATCAATACTGTTGAACTTTTTTTGTCGGGTTATTCAATATCTTTAGCCATTTGTCCGAAAAATGCGTCAAGAGAGTTAACTGGTGTAACAAGGTGGTGATTTGGAATAAAAACGCAATGGGTGCCCCTTTGTGATAATAAATGAAGGTCTGCGTTCAATCTGTGTGTTGGAACTATTGGAACGAGGTAAGTGGAAGCTTGAAATAGAGGGGAGAACGATTCGGTTGAGAGACTTCTTCAGCAGACCGGGGGACAAAAACAGAAAGGTTTCCTTTTAAAATATTGGAAATTCTAATAAACACACTGCTAATATATACATTGCATTATACACACGTCAACAGTACATGATACACACGTAAACAGTACAGCATACAAACGTCAACAGTAAATTATAAAAACTTCAACAGTACACTAAATAAAGGTCAACAGTACGTTATACAACTGTAAACAGTACATTATAAAAAAGTCAACAGTACACTATACAATCGTCAACAGTATATTATACAAATGTCAATAGTACATTATACAAATGTCAACAGAACAGCATAAAATCGTCAACAGTACACTAAACAAATGTCAACAGTACGTTATACAAACGTAAACAGTACATTATGGATGTCATTTGTGGTAGTTTATTTTAATTAAACTGAAGAATTTAGTTTACAAACATTTAGTCCGTTCAATTACCTTTCACGTGGTACCTCATTTTGTCTTACAAATCCAACAATAAAATTTTTAATAGTTTTTTTTTAATCCCAACCTCTCACTTCTGGTACCCGGGTACGAATAGCCACTTCGATAATTACTTTCTACTAATGAATCTTAAAAGAGTAGCAAAACAAACAAAAAAATAGATTGTGAAAGTACTTTGTGAGTAGCAGATATGTGGAACCAAGATAAGACCCACGTATCACCAAGGTCAAGCAGAATTCAAGGCATGATGACATAATGATTTATTGAAAATGAAAGCATAGGATACATTGTGACGGCACATAGGCGCCTTCCTCCCCACATCAAAAAAAACAAACAAACAAACAAACAAAAAGTTGTTTCGAAAACGGCTTACATATCCTCTTTCTCTCTCTCTCTCTCTCTCTCTCTCTTCATCTCTCTATCTCTTTTAATTCTCTCTCTCACTCCCTCTCTCTTTTACTCTCTTTTTCTCTCTCACTCTTAGTCTTTCTTTCTCTCTTTTTCTCTCTCTTTTTCTTTCTCTATCTCACTCTCTCTCTCTCTCTATCTCGCTCTCTCTCTCTCGCTCTCGCTCTCGCTCTCTCTCTCTCTCTCTCTCTCTCTCTCTTACTCACCCTAAACATATAAACATTATTGCACCAATGATCAAATTGAACATAATTTAATGTCCCCATTAATTTACATATTTAGTGGACTGTAATTAATTTCCACGCGGTGACGTAGCTTCATGGTATTCTGATTTCACTGTATTGCGAGGTGGTCTGATCCATTATGGAAGTGTAGCATGGCCCTCGCATGTCGACTTCGATGTCATAGTTTCCATTAATACCTGCCTGTTAAGTATCTTACTATAAAACATCCATTAAAATTGTCAGTCAGACGTGATCTATTTAAGGTCCCGTCGTTAGAGAAAGAACTTATAGTTCACGGGACTCACTCCCAGGCTGTTGGCTTTACTTGTAAGGTAAGTGATTATGTCTGTCTCGTCGGTGCTCGTCGTCTTAAAAGGTCCGGCAAGGACTGCCGTTCGTCTGCACGTCTGTGTATGCCGTCGAGTGGTGGGCATTGTCTGTCGGCCAGGTGTTTCCGCTACGAAATCATCCCAGATCAGACAGCGATGTGTGTTAGCACGCGTAGTGTGCTTTGCAATACCTTAAAACAACGGTTCTCAACCTGTGGGTCGTGACCCTTTTACAGGGGGTCGCCTAAGACCATCTGAACTGAAAACACACGTACTCTACAGTTATAAAGTGTCAACGAAAATAATTTTGTGGTACGGGGGTCGCCACAACACGATAAACGGTATTTAAGGGTCGCGGCATTAGAAAGGTTGAGAACCACTGCCTTGTAAGATCTAAGGACTTCCGGTACAAAAATCACAGAAGGCGCCACCAATGCAAGGGAGTGTGGTGGGGCCATCGTCCTGATGGTGGTGTGTTTCTGGCGAAATCTTCGTAACTAAATGACCCTCTTCCCGGCAGCCTATCGAGCTGAAACTTGGCACGTAGACTCGTTGCTGATGTCAACGCTTTCTATTAAATTTTCAGCCCCACCCCCAAAAATACAACCTTTCCCGTTTTTCAAGCGGGGGAAAAATAAGGGGGGGGGGTGGTGTTGATCATTTGTTCAATAGGTGCGTGTTTTTTTTTTGGTGTAGAGATTGTGTAAATGGTACTATGTGCTTTGTATTTGTGACGCATTTGGGTATGCAGTAAAAATTACAATGTTTTTTTTGTTTTTTTTTAAAGTGCGAAAATGAAGGAAAATATAACAAAAAGTGTTTCCTTCAAAAGTTGACCCACTTCTCTGAAAGCTTCTTAATACATACAACACCTTGCAATTACATCAAGGCAAAGAAAAGATGCAGAGAAATGATTTATACAAAAACTTCTTTTTTTTAAGGGGTTGTATAATTCAATTTTGGAAAAGTCGGTAAAAGCGAAGACAATGTAACGTTAACATAGCTTAGAGACAAAAACAAGACATGGCACGAAATGAAAATATGATAGAAGCGGAGACATTTGAATACGATACGTGAAGAGAATGATCAAAAATGGGCTGATCCACTGCTCCAGCATGAAACAGAAACTCGTCCATCTCTCCCCCCCCCCCAGACAGCGACGAGGCCCCGACAGGCAGTTCCGCCCAATAAAAACAAGAACTCGGTACAAGATCTCCTCATTCCTGCCAAAGACACTAATAAATTTGAATACGATACGTGAAGAGAATGATAAAAAATGGGCTGATCCACTGCTCCAGCATGAAACAGAAACTCGTCCATCCCTCCCCCCCCCCCAGACAGCGACGAGGCCACGACAGGCAGTTCCGGCTAATAAAAACAAGAACTCGGTACAAGATCTCCTCATTCCTGCCAAAGACATTAAGGGACTGAAGCAAGCTTCCAAAAGCAACAGTTGAGGCGACTACACTTGACACATTTATGTCTATTGCCTCCTGTCTTCCAAACCCCCAGTTCATAATACCACTGCTGAGTAGCCCTCGCAAACAGTGAAGTATCCCCTTGAATACCATGCACAGTAACATCTGAGCCCCTCTGAAAAATAGGAGCCAGAATGATTAGTTCATTGATCGCGAGCCCTAAAAATATAGAATACCATAAGCATTAGATAAATAATCGAGTGAATGTACTAGTAAACCAACATATGTGTGTATATTTACAATTTTTCATTTATCCAAAAAAAGGATGATGTCAACTTACGTAAGTGTATAACCATCAAATTGTCAACTGCTTGACGGAATTCATCGTTTTTATGTAAAAAATATTTCTGCTTCAGATATCCAAACATGGATGAGTACCAACTGTGGGCGCCCTTCGCCAAAAAGTACACCGTGCACGAGGAGACGTACCTGCTGACCCGGATAATGTTGGCAGCCGGGATGAAGCCGTACCATGAACTCGGTTTGGAGAAAGCGAGACAGCAATCCATTGAGAGGACCAAGGTCGCAACTGGCTTCATTGACTACAGCGGTGATGAGTGGGAGGTAATTGTGCCGTCGCCTTACTCAAAAGACGGAATTCCTGTAACGGTGTTTAAACCTTCCTCGGCACCGGAAGTTCCCGCCATATTGGTAATTTTTCCACGGTGGCGGTCTCCTCTTGGGGAATCGCAAACAGAACGAGGGGGCCAACAAGATTATTGCAAGGGATTCCGGGCCATCGTCCTGAACGTTGAATACCGGTTGTTACCGGACCCAGTATTCCCTTTCGCCCCTTTTGACGACGGGGTCGTCGTCACCAAATGGGTTTTAGAAAACAAGGAAGCAGTCGGTGGTAAACCAAGAAGCAAGGTCGGCATCGGGGTTGACAGCGCTGGCGGTCAACTCTCTGCAAGTGTGACCAATGACGTACTCGGGTTGGACTTCCAGGTTCTCGTCTACCCCATGACGGACACGACTTTGTCCAGTCCATCTTTTAAAGAGTTCGAAAAATCCCCGATTCTGGGTGAAGGCGACATCAAATGGGCTTTAGACCTCACTGTGGGGAACATCCCCGACTACAGCACCAATCCAAGGGCCAACCTCATGAAGCGTACCAACACCAGGGACTCTCCGCCAGCCCTCGTCATCCTTTCGGAACTTGATCCTTTCAGGGACTGTGGGCTCGAGTACGCTGACAAGCTGAGAACCGCCGGGGTGACCGTCCAGTGCGAGGTCATCAAGGGCGTCCCCCACGCCTTTTTCATCTTGCGGACGTGTTCAAGACGATATGCCCTGAAGCATACGACCTGGTCGTCAGGTTTCTGAAGAATTTCCAGTTATAAGCTCAGGTCTTCTATTCCGATGCGAAACAAGAACATTATTGTAAAAAAAACAAAAACAACAACTAATGTAAGCAGTGAATTGTCGCGAACTGGAGACCCACTCAATGACAAGTCCTTTTATTTATTCCATTGTAAATTTTGCTAGTCACGTGCTTTCTAACTTGTTTAGTTGTTACGTTCAGTTTCGTCAGTGGGAATGAGTGTATGGAAATTTAAAAAAAAATTATCACGAAGCAGCCCTGCGTTTGTTTGTTTGTTTGTTTGTATTTTTTAAATCCAAATACCAGACAAAAAATATCACAGCAAAAAAAAAAACTTTAGAGATTTCCTTCTGTTGTTGTTTTTTTTTTTTTTTTTTTTTTTTTTTTTTTTTTTTTTTTTTTTTTTTTTTTTTTTTTTTTTTTTTTTTTTTGTTTTTTTTTTTTTTCTTGTTTTTTTTTTTTTTTGGTGATCTGATACTTGTTATACTTCTTTTTTGTCTTGTTTTCTGATGAAGGGCTCTAAGCTGAAACGTCAAGATCGATTGACCTGTTTATGAATTCAAGTTTGGCATACCTTGTTCTCATATTTATTTTTTACACAACTTGAATGCAGTCCATCAATTATTATCCGTGACATCATCGGGTCTCAATATATTGGTATGAGACATCATCAGGTCTCAATTTATTTGTCAGTGACATCGTCGGGTCTCAATATATTGGTCTGTGACATCATCGGGTCTCAATAAATTGGTCTGTGACATCATCGGAGAATAAAGCTATGTTCTCATTTTACCAATTCAGAAAATCAATGACGCTAAAAAACATAAGTACATTTACATAATTATACCCATGAATATCAAAACCCATTAATTTTACACAAGCGAACATTTATTTTTCAAAATAGAAAAGGGTTAAGATTTTCTTATAGATAGATTCACAGAAAGATGATAGATAGTTAGACAGATAGACAAATAGACTGCTAGACTGATAGACTGATTGACAGACAGATAGACCGATACATGATAGCTGATAGATATCTATAAAGCTAACTTGCCATTATCTGTATTTTATAGAGATAAATATTGTATCGTATGTCATATCATAAATCATTTATAATATTATTTTACATCCAAAATGTGTGGGTTTGCTTGTGTGTTTGTTTGTGGGATTATTTGTGAGTTTGTTGGTTTGTTTGTAGGTTTGCTTGTGGGTTATCTTGTGGGTTTGCTTGTGGGTTTGCTTGTGGGTTTGTTTGTGGGATTGTTTGTGGGTTTGTTTGTGGGTTTGTTTGTGGGATTGTTTGTCAGTTTGTGGGTTTGTTTGTGGGTTTGCTTGTTGTTTTGTTTGTGGGTTAGCTTGTGGGTTTGTTTGTGGGATTGTTGTGGGTTTGTTTAGGGTTAGCTTGTGGGTTTGTTTGTGGGTTTGCTTGTGGGTTTGTTTGTGGGTTTTTGTGGGTTTGTTTGTGGGTTTGCTTGTGGGTTTGATTGTGGATTTGTTTGTGGGATTGTTGTGGGTTTGTTTGTGGGTTTGTTTGTGAATTTGTTGTGGGTTTGTTTGTGGGTTTGTTTGTGGGTTGCTTGTGGGTTTGTTTGTGGGCTTGTTTGTGGGTTTGTTTGTGGATTGTTGTGGGTTTGCTTATGGGTTTGTTTGTGGGATTTTTATGGGTTTGCTTGTGGGTTTGTTTGCGGGTTTGTTTGTGGGATTTTTATGGGTTTGCTTGTGGGTTTGCTTGTAGGTTTGTTTGTGGGTTTGTTTGTGGGTTTGCTTGTAGGTTTGTTTGTGGGCTTTTTATGGGGTTTTTTGTGGGTTTGTTTGTGGGATTTTTATGGGTTTGCTTGTGGGTTTGCCTGTGGGTTTGTTTGTGGGTTTGTTTGTGGGTTTGTTGTGGGTTTGCCTGTGGGTTTGTTTGTGGGTTTGCTTGTGGGTTTGCTTGATTATTTGCATGTTGGTTTTCTTTGTGGGTTTGCTTGTGTGTTTGTTTGTGTGGTTGCTTGTAGGTTTACTTGTTGGCCCCTTGTATTGATGGATGGAAACCAAAACTTGGCAGACACACTCTGAAGAGAAAAAGGAGGTTGTGGGCAAACTCTACCCTTAACGTTGAGTATAATGTGATGGTGTTTGGATGCCGCTGAACTGCCAGTAGGCCCACTCGATCGTTGAAGTGGTGTGCTACCCTCAGATAACATATGCACACACACGCCGCATTTTCCATTAACACCTGGTTAAGTTACATATAATAGCCCTTAATGAGGGTTCTATGGCGATTCGCAGCTAACATTTCGCCGGTGCCATTTCGCCGTCGGGCCACTTCGCCGTCGGGCCACTTCGCCGAGGGCGATTTTTTGCGACGATGATAAAAATCACTTTAATTCCAAAGTGATAATTAAATCCACCGGTGATTTAAGCATGTGTATGTTTCAAGAATATCTCCATATTTGTGCAAATGCCCCCCTTTGTTTGTCGTTTTGTTTGTTAGTTCCCCATAAGCTCCCATCTGGATATATTTGAAGAATTATGTAAATTTTAAGAAAAATTATTTTTTCACTTTTAAGTGCCCCCACCACTTTCATTTTTTTTTTTTTTTTTTTTTTTTTTTTTTTTTTTTTTATTTTTTTTTTTTTGAGAAATGCACCAAAACACAAGCCTTCCAGACAAAAGTCAAATAACACGCCATCCGATTTGTCAACCCAAACTATGACGTTGAAGCGGGTTTCCACTGAACTCGGTGAGTGAAATAACCTGAGAACAGATCCCCCTGCTAATCTACAAATACATTGTGTTCTTGATTTGTTTTTTTTTTTTAATCATTTTAATCACTTCTAAAGCTCTCAAAAATCATTTCTATATCTTTTTCGGTGAAGCGACGGTCGGCGAAACGTCCCAGTCGGGCGAAACGGACTTCGGCGAAACGTCCCAGCGGCAAATTGGATGTCGGCGAAACTGACATCGGCGAAACGTCCCGGCGGCGAAAAGGCGGCAGTGAAAGACCCATTCCGCCTTACAAGCACAAGCAACAGACTGGCTTCATGTGTGGGCGTGTTGCTAGCAGATCACGAAGACTTAGCAGACCAGCTTTGCTGTGAGCCCAGTGGCCGATAGCTGAAGTAAGTACGTTTATCAATGTCCGTCCGGTCAAACTGAGAACTTCGATACGAGGAAACCTGTAGAGGCAGCACTATGTCCGTCTCGTCATACTGAGTACTTAGGTACAGGGAAACCTGTAAGGACAGCACTATGTCCGTCTCGTCATACTGAGTACTTAGGTACGGGGAAACCTGTATGGACAACACTATGTCCGTCTCGTCATACTAAGTACTTAAGTACAGGGAAACCTGTAAGGACAGCACTATGTCCGTCTCGTAACACTGAGTACTTAGGTACGGGGGAAGCCTGTAGGGACAACACTATGTCCGTCTCGTAATACTGAGTACTTAAGTACGGGGAAACCTGTAGGGACAGCACTATGTCCGTCTCGTAATACTGAGTACTTAGGTACGGGGAAACCTGTAGGGACAGCACTATAGCCGTCTCGTCATACTGAGTACTTAAGTACGGGGAAACCTGTAGGGACAGCACTATGTCCGTCTCGTCATACTAAGTACTTAAGTACGGGGAAACCTGTAGGGACAGCACTATGTCCGTCTCGTCATACTGAGTACTTAAGTACGGGGAAGCCTGTAGGGACAACACTATGTCCGTCTCATCATACTGAGTACTTAGGTACGGGGGAAGCCTGTAGGGACAGCACTATGTCCGTCTCATCATACTGAGTACTTAGGTACGGGGGAAACCTGTAGGGACAACACTATGTCCGTCTCATCATACTGAGTACTTAGGTACGGGGGAAGCCTGTAAGGACAACACTATGTCCGTCTCATCATACTGAGTACTTAGGTACGGGGGAAGCCTGTAGGGACAACACTATGTCCGTCTCATCATACTGAGTACTTAGGTACGGGGGAAGCCTGTAGAGACAGCACTATGTCCGTCTCATCATACTGAGTACTTAGGTACGGGGTAAGCCTGTAGGGACAGCACTATTCCACGGTTCGCTATTCACGGGTTTCACTGTGCCCTGTTTCGACGGTTTTTTTTAATAAGCCTCAGTGTCGTTCCGCGTTAGTGTCAAGTCTGCCCCAGACTTCTCTCGTCTGTTAAACTACGGGCTCAACGGTTCATCCGGGTCTGTCAACCATGCCCTTTCCTTTCACGCCACCAACTTACCACCCGATTTCAGACAACAGACGTGGCCGGGCGTGGAGACGTGTAGCGCTTAGCAGCATCCGTTCTGAGACCAAACACATCTTCACGTACACACAGAGGTATATCTGTTTGATCTCTCTCTCTCTCTCTCTCTCTCTCTCTCTCTCTCTCTCTCTCTCTCTCTCTCTCTCTCTCTCTTTATATATATAATAATTCCCGAGTGTATATATATAACATCTCTCAGACCACACACATCTTCACGCACACACACAGATATATCTGTGTGCTCTCTCTCTCTCTCTCTCTCTCTCTCTCTCTCTCTCTCTCTCTCTCTCTCTCTCTCTCTCTCTCTCTTTATACATATAAGAATTACCGAGTGTATCCATGTAACACTAAAGAAACTAAGTGATTTAAATACGTTCGGATTCTAAAAATCAGTGATGGTGATTTTCTATTATTTTACGGAAATCGAACATAGAGTTTTTGTTGAAAATTTAGGATTAAATTTTAAAAATAGATCGGTCCTAAAATATGAATGTAATATATCGGTAAGACTAATGATTTAATTGGTGATCATTAAGATTTGGTAATGAAAGGAAAAAGAAAAAAAAAAGAAAAGAAAAAATATAGTTCATGGGAGTGAAAAAGGGGGTAATGTTGGCGTATTATATATAGAAGAAAATTACTTATTAAAACTTTTAACGCTGTTAGAAACGTAAACATCATTACATAGATACTTCTTTTTAAAATAAGTTTTAGCAATGGCAGGTCGAAATTACTGCAAAGTGCCTGCCATTATTATCCCGATAACATCGGGTGATATTTTCTAGTATACAATGTGTGTGCTTGTGTGTGTGTAGTGTAACCATGATATGTGTTACTATATATGCCTTGCCCTATTTCCGACTTTATCTTCTTATTCATACACAATTCCAGATAACCGGCAGACCCATAGACGATAAGAGCCGAGCTTAGTGTAGCATTGAAACTAGGTCGGCTCTAAAAAAAAAAAATGTAACAATGACGTCATTCAATCAGAAAGAATCTCTAAGACAAAAGTTTATTTTATTTATTTATTTTTAATCTAAACGGAACTTAGGTAGTGATTCTTTCTTATTTTTTTTTAAAGACGTCACTATTGTCTTGAAGCAGACGTCAATAGTTTTGAAATATGATAAGAATTGACAAGAAATTGACAAAGTTGGCAATTTGACAAAATGATGAACGTGACAAAAATGATGGCCTTGACAAAAATGATGGCCTTGACAAAGTGATGAACTTCACAAAATGATGAACTTGACAAAATGATGAACCTAACAAAATGACAAAATGATGGACTGACAACTAGATGAGCCTGGCAAAATAAAGAATAATAGACTCGACAAAACGATGAATTTGACAAAATGATAAATTTGACAAAGTGATACACTTGAAAAAATGATGAACTTGACAAAATAATGCACTTGACAAAAGGATGAACTTTTCAAAGAGATTAACTTGAAAAAAAGCGAATGATAAATACATTGATGGTGGGCCCTCAAAATATAAAAGAAGAAGTATTGAAATCAGGGTCCTTAGGGTAATCAAAGGTTCCCGCGTTATGGTTTTCGTTATGGAAGTTAGCTCATAAAATAGAACATATTCTTGTCTTATATACACACACTATGTTTCATCGCACCATAACGCAATGTGTATAGAACTGTGTGAAGATTCGAAATATTGTTAAAGTGGGTCATTTTCTAAAATAGAAGACTGGAGGCTAGAGTACAAATCGGCGTCTCTCTGCCTTTGCAGGCGTGTACCCTGCCATTTTAACAAGTTTGCAGATTGCAGTATCCCTGTTTGGTCACTGCCTGTCAAGTACATATTGAACTTTGACCTGGATTATGCAACATGGGTGGAGTTGTTTATAGTCACTAAGTCCAATTTGCAATTCTCTTTGTGTACGATGATAATAATAAATTAAAAACGTTAAGGATTTTGATGACCAGAGATCCGCCAATTGATGTTCTGCTGTAAAAATGAAAATTTTATTTGTAAAATATTCCATAGCATTGCACATATATTTATTAGAATCGAAAGCAATTGACTTGTATGAAATAAAGGAAAGAGTAAAATAGCAAATATTCATTTCAATAGGGCTTGTCATTTAATGGCGGTAATCTATTAATAGAACATCCGGGCATTCAGTTTGGCCGATCTTAGGTAATGGCGGAAAGGTATTAATAAAACAGCCGGGTATTCTGTTTGGTCAAAGCATTTTAACAGTGTGTTCGGTACATCTACGTTAATGAGCCAGCAAATTGGGCATTAGCCTAGACCAGGGGTGGGAAAACTACTGCTCGCGGGCCGCATTCGGCCCTGCAACTGATATTATGTGGCCCCCAGAAGGCATTTAGAAATACAAAAACTACTTTGTTTTAAAGTTATTTTGTTGAATTTTACAGAATTGCATGTCCCGTTATGATTGTTTTAACATTTTTTTGATCACATTTCTAATTTTCTATCTTTTTAAACAGTCCTTGACTTTTGTCATGTCATGCTAAGATGCGAATTGACCGACTTCAATATAGAGAAATGTTTATCGAAATGTCAAAATTGGACATGATATACATGCGGCCCCACACTGGCTTTACATTTGTCAATGTGGCCCTCAGCACAAAAAGTTTGCCCACCCCGGGCCTAGACCAAAGCTTTGTGTACAACTGTAGTTTTAGAAATGTTCAAAATTTACTGCGACTTATATGCTGAAATACTTTTTTTCCACCTAGGTTTTACGAAAACCTTGTCTAGAAATGGTAACATTACGTAGTGCGGCGTGACTGTTTCCGGTCTTAGAAATGACAAGCCCTATTTAAAAGTTGTTAACTTTCCCAAGATGTTCATAACTGCTGTAAATGTAGAAGGCTCGGCTATAGCATCACGAGAGAAACAAATATTGCATCAATTTATTTTCTATTCAGATTGGTTTCCAGAGATGGATGAGTACAAACTGTGGGCGCCCTTCGCCAAAAAGTACACCGTGCACGAGGAGACGTACCAGCTGGCCAGGTTAATGTTGGCAGCCGGGATGAAGCCGTACCATGAACTCGGTTTGGAGAAAGCGAGACAGCAATCCATTGATAGGACCAAGGTCGCAACTGGCTTCATTGACTACAGCGGTGATGAGTGGGAGGTAATTGTGCCGTCGCCTTACTCAAAAGACGGAATTCCTGTAACGGTGTATAAACCTTCCTCAGCACCGGAAGTTCCCGCCATATTGGTATTTTTCCACGGTGGCGGTCTCCTCTTGGGGAATCGCAAACAGAACGAGGGGGCCCTCAAGATTATTGCAAGGGATTCCGGGGCCATCGTCCTGAACATCGAATACCGGTTGTTACCGGACCCGGTATTTCCCTTGGCCCCTTTTGACGACGGGGTGGTCGTTACCAAATGGGTTTTAGAAAACAAGGAAGCCGTCGGTGGTAATCCAAGAAGCAAGGTCGGAGTCGGGGGTGACAGCGCAGGCGGTCAAATCTCTGCAAGCGTCACCAATGACGTTCCAGGGTTGGACTTCCAGGTTCTCGTCTACCCCATGACGGACACGACTTTATCCAGTCCATCTTTTAAAGAGTTCGCAGAATCCCCATTTCTGGGTGCAGGCGACGTCAAATGGTTTTTGGACAACTCTGTCGGGCTCCTGCCCGACTACAGCACCAACCCGAGGATCAACCTGATGAAGCGAACCAACACCGTGGACTCTCCGCCAGCCCTCGTCATCCTCGCGGAGCTGGATCCGTTGAGGGACTGCGGCCTGGAGTACGCCGACAAGCTGAGGGCCGCCGGGGTGGGTGTCCAGTGTGAGACCATCAAGGGCGTCCCCCATGCCTTCTTCACCCTGAGTGACGTGTTCAAGACGAAATGCCCTGAGGCGTACGATCTTGTTGTAAGGTTTCTGAAGAATTTCCAGTCATAAAAAGCTCTATTTATAACATCTCTATTACTCGAGCATTGGTTATTGGTCTTACAGGAAGTGACTCTATAGGAACTGACTCTATAGGAACTGACTCCATAATACCCAGATCTGTTGAAGCCCTTTTTTTTTCTTATATAAGTTGCGCATTTTAAACAGATTTCTGAAAATTTGTTTTCTTGCATAAAAATGTGGTTTTTTGTTTTTTTTGTGTGAACTAGATATAATTGATTCGTTCCTTAATTGCGTCATAATGATGATTTTTAAATCATGTTTTTTTTGTTTTTTTTTCAATTGTGTTGTTTTCTTCGGTCTGAAATCCCATAACAAAGGCGCTTTAAATGGTTTCTTATTATATGATAATATTAAATTTTATTCATACAGATTTACAGATTTTTTTACAATGTTTGTTTTTGTTTGTTTGTTTTTATTTTTTATTTATTTGTTGTTCTTGTTTTTTTTTGTTTTTGTTTGTTTGTCGTTTTTTATTCGTATTTCTGTAACAGAAATATACGCGCATCATTTTAGAATGATGCAATGACACTCATCAGATTGATGTCACAGATTGATTTTTTTTTTTTTTTTTTTTTTTTGCCTGGTTCCTGAGAATTTAATTCAAATTAAGTTTTTAAAATATAAAGTAAAAGGGTAAGTTTTGGTAATTATCTTTTTTGTTTTTTAATTTTTCCATTTTTTTTTTTTTCATTTTTTTTAAAAATTCGTAAATAGTGTGTTAGGGAATGTTATTAATTAGTTCTAGTGTGCTACGTTTAACCAGATTGAGAAGCGCTGTTCTTTAGTGGATTTTCCCCCCCCCCTTTCTTCCAATTTAATAGGTTCTGTGCAGTGAAACAAACCAAAACAATCACTTGGTCGACCACTGGACATCTCCTACGAACAGCTGTTGGGACCAATGTTCCCTCTAAGATTTGCTGTTTCGTGTGCAAAATCATACAGTTGTGTGCAAAGTTTTACAGAATCAATTTTTTGGTTGCAAAATTTTACAGCCCACAAACTTAAATGGAAATTTGCTACGTGGATACTCAAAACTGCTGCTTGGCGTCTGTGTAAAAGGGAACATTGGTTGGAACATGACTGCTTTAACGTATAACCACAATATCCCTCTGGCAAAGTGGTCAGCGGACGGCGGGGCAGGGTGGGGGTGTGTAGATTATCCCAAGTGGGGTAAAAATGGAAATCCTGTTAGGGGGGGGGGGTATGCCAGCTCAATTTAAATTTGAAGCATGTTTTTTGGTTTTTTTAATTTCTGTTTTTTTGGTGTTTTTTTTGTTACGAAATTATTTTTTCCTGGCTATGCTGCATTAAGTTTGTAAAAAGGAGCAAACGCATCCAATAACTTATGGTTGCCAGTGGCACGGCAGCTAGTACCTGCTTCACGTCTTGTGGACGTCATTTTTTGGTCTGGTCGCCTCCTAAGGCAGACCATTTTTTTTTAAAGTGTATCTTCTCCGGATTTGGATTCCAGCTCTGTTAATGACTATTTCGTTTCTTTGTACAAAATTTTCTCTTTCAGTACCTATATCGAACGTCCTCAGAACTCACCCTTCGCGGGGTCGGAGTATGAGAGAATGTTCCTTCCCCATCACCTCGCTTTTAATAGTAGGGCTAAGAAGTCGACACTCGCATGGGGGTTAGTGGCAATGTTCGGTTAAAATTCAGACATAAGTACAAAGGATATTTATGAGTTTATGTATTTATTAGTCTTACTAACACGCCATACACGTATCGACATCAGAGGTCCTCAATAGGTAAGCACGAAATGGCCTCCTTTCGTGGAGCCTATATCAACATCAGAGGTCCTCATGCACGAAGTAGTCTCCTTTCGTGGAGCCTATATTAACATCAGAGGTCATCAATAGTTAAGCACGAAATGGTCCCATCCGTGGGGCCACGTCAACATCAGAGGATCTCAATAGTTTAGCAGGAAATGGTCCCTTCCGTGGGACCTGAATTAAGTAAGTGTTACATTTAGATTTAAACATAGAGTCCAAATGGGGGGGGGGGGAGGACATGATAATTGGAGAAAATGGTAAGAGATTGGGAAGAAAGGGGAGTATGGTTGGTAGGGGGGCAAACAGGAAGTTAAACAACATCTCCGGTCACTGGTGGCAGTCAGACTCCCCTCACTAGCTATCAACTAACCCACCCCCTCCTTTTTTTCCATCTACCCACTACCTTCCAACTATCTACAAATGAAAATAATTTCTTTATCATTTATGAACTTAAATTTCTACTATTGAAATAAGGCACTCGATGCCCCCTCCCCGCCCCCCCCCCCAAAAAAAACAACAACAAAATCATCAACAAACACATACATACACACACAAACACACATCCACACACACCGACGACTGTGTTAAATATTGCATCCGGAAAACATTAAAACAGGTGAGTACAGAATAGAAAACTGATCTCATGGCATGTCTCATTCATTTACATGTTAGTCATTGCTCTTATAGGGATGCTGTTAATCGAGGTATATAGCATCGACCCCCCGCCCTCCCCCAATCCACTCCCCCTTAAATCAATGATCGATTTATGTATCCAAGAAAACAGCATTTCATCTAAACGATTTTAACAAGACTGGATGGTTCCCTCAGTAGGGCCTTTCTCGCTTCGGTGACCTTGTGATGGCGTTGTCGTAGGGCGATGAGGTCGGGGCGAGGTCGTAGCGCAAGGACGCAAGGGACATGGCGCCCTCCTCGGCCGTGAACCCTTGGGTCAAATTACTGCCCAGAGCCTCCCTTCCTTCTCGTATCCTCTCCAATTCTTTGGCGCTGTGACGTATATTCTGACAGTACACAACGTCATCAAAACCTGTGTGGGTGGGTGTGGGGATGAGGGAGAGAGAGAGAGAGGGGGGGGATAAAAATAAAGCATGGTTATTTATTTGTCATGGTCAGCTCTACATCAGCCACCCATACTGATGTTTGCAGATGTATGCCACCAGCTACATATGTAAAAGTTGTTAATTTGATGACCACTCCATAGTGCCCAACAATCTCATTTTTTTACTCCACCACCACCCCAAAAAAAAAAAAAAAAAGATAACCTTAACATCCAATCACCTAAAGCCGCCGCTGTAACACCGCCCCTCTAAATTCATGACTGCACCCCCAGCCCCCCAGCGCCCCCCCACCTAATGCCCTCACTGCATCCCAGCTCCCTTGCATTTTTTCTTTGAAAAGTAACACCAAACCAAATCTAGCATTCATACCATACCCCATACACACACACACACACACGTACACAAACACACACACACATACACACACACTGATCCCAAGTGACCCGTGAAAGTCAATGCGCCACTGTGTCCTCTATTGCAGCGTTTCCCAAACTTTTAAGTTTCACGGACCGGTGGACAAGTTTCGAAACTTCACCAGGGACCGGTGCCAGATTTATTAATTACTTTTTCTTTCTATTTAAACATCAATATTCATACCCTCTGGACCGGTAAAGTAAGGCTCGCGGACCGGTGCCGGTCCATGAACCACCGTTTGGGGAACGCTGCTCTATTGTGTTCACACCTTACCCCCCCATCTCCCTCCCCCCCCCCTATACACACCTCCACAAATCCCAACTCACCCGCGAAGTCAATGTGCCAGCGGCTATGTCCGATGTCGTACTCTTCGATCCTCTCAAAGCGGTGGCCCCAGAGGATTTCCTTGGGCAGGTAGGACGTCCGGGACTGGCACACTTCACCTGTTGGGGTTTGGGGGTGGGGGGTGGTGGGGGTGGCGGTAAAAGAGTGGTAAGTTTTAAAAAATGTCTGAGAATGGTAAGGGCCTTTGAGGTGGTTAGAAGGTGGTAGTCCCTAGAGTAAATTGAACACATGTGAACTAATCATAATCCTTATAAGAATTTTTTTTTAAACCATGAGAAAGGAAGGTTGTGATGACAGGTTTGAAAGTGTGTAATGAATAGTGACGTGTCATGAATTATTTCATGGCTAAAACGAATTTAAAAAAAAATTATAATTTGAATTTTAACTTTCCTTAGTTTTGTCCCAATGAAGATTTGACTAGATCGAGGACGATGGTAGAACTTTTTTTTTTACTTTTTTTCTTATGACTTTATTTATTCCCTGTTGCTTTTTTTTTCCTGTGACTTTTTTCTTGTGACTTTTTTTTCCTGTGACTTTTTTCTCTGTTACTTTTTTTTTTGGTAACCTTTTCCCTGTTGCTTTTTTCCTGTGACTTTATTTTTTCCTAGCAAAATATGTGTCTATTTTTCCCTGTGTCTTTTGTTACCTAGCAAAAATGTGACTATTTTTCCTGTGACTTTTTTTTTCCTGTGACTTTTTTCCCCTGTTACTTTTTTTCCTGTGACTTTTTTTTTCTTCCTAGCAAAAATGTGTGCCTTTTCTTTCCCGTGACCTTTTTTCCGCTCTCTTCTAATCAAACTCCTTTGACTGAGCTCTATTGTAATCTGATAATCTCGTTTCTAATTGACCAGCTGAGTCCTGTAATTAACAGTCTGAATTACCTCACGTGAAATTCATTAAGACATTAAAAGTGATCAACTGTATCCACCCTCAACCTACACCCCCCCCCCACACTTTTTTTTAAAATCACAAATCGACTCTTCCATTTGCTTTGACTCCCTAATTGAACCGTGTACTTTGACTCCCTAATTGAACCGTGTACTTTGACTCCCTAATTGAACCGTGTACTTTGAATCCCTAATTGAACCGTGTACTTTGACTCCCTAATTGAACCGTGTACTTTGACTCCCTAATTGAACCGTGTACTTTGACTCCCTAATTGAACCGTGTACTTTGACTCCCTAATTGAACCGTGTACTTTGACTCCCTAATTGAACCGTGTACTTTGACTCCCTAATTGAACCGTGTACTTTGACTCCCTAATTGAACCGTGTACTTTGACTCCCTAATTGAACCGTGTACTTACGTTGACACGTGTAAGCAGGCATGTCTCCGGCACGTGTTTTTATGATCGATTATCCCATGATATCAGACAATGATTTATTTATTTTTTTAAATACGGGGGTGGGGCGGGCGGTTTGGGGAGGGGGGGAGACTGCAATCAGGTTTAGGTAGGCTTTGTGAAGCAAATCATGGGGAAAAAACTTGGAGAAAGGACGCAACATAACAACCAACGTGTCGACAAGACGCCTTCTTCAGATGCTTTCTGACGCGTTCGTTATTTAGTTGCGTCTTATTTTTTTTTTTACAGGTTTTACCACATCTCGTGTCACATACTTCTTGATATTAGACACCCTTTCAATAACATGACTTAGTGCGTAATAAAAAACCGTTGTGACGACTACAGACGCTCTGTCACCAGCCGTCTCTCTCCCTCACTCCCAACCCCCTCTCCACTGAACCGCCCAACGATTCGCATAAAAATGTTTTCGTCACGACCTACCCACCCCACAACCCATGCTCATTGTTGCAACATTTGACCAAAAAAAAAAAAAAATCTGGTCAAATATTGTCTCCCAACACAGTGTCTCGTGTGATAACTGCACCTGGCACCACACTCCATCCGTACTCTTAGCATAAGCCCGTGTGTCGTGTCAAGTTTGAGTTTAAACTTTTTTTTTTCTTTCAAAGTCCATGCAGACATAATAGTTCATGCGAGGTCATATTCAAAACACGGTCTTAATCCAAAACATTTCCATTTTCAACAACTACCATCCTAAAGTTTGTAATCGTATATGAACTGATCCGAAGAAGAATCCCCAGCAGCCAGATAAAAGGAAAGATTACCGTATTCTAAATAGTCTTTTTTTTAATTTTATTTTTTTATATATAATAATTAAACGAATGCGAACATTAACTCCGAAAAGAAGCTGTAAACATTGTAAAGATGTGAGGCTTCATTTGAAGATTTTAGCCTTGATTTAAACATTTTTTTAGGCTTTTTCTGAGGCTCTATTTGAAGATACGAGGCTCTTTTTGAAGATGTTAGGCTTTATTTGAAGATTTGAGGCTTTTTTAAAGAGTTGAGGCTTTTTCTGAAGAGTGGAGGCTGTTTTTTGAAGATTTTAGTCTTTCTTTAAAGATTTTTTAGGCTTTTTCTGAAGAGTTGAGGCTCTATAATTTGAAGATTTGAGGCTCTTTTTGAAGAAGTTCGGCTTTATTTGAGAATTTTAGGATTTTTTTGATGATGTGAGCAGGGGTGTCTATACGCAAGAGAGGTGGGGGGGGGAGAGATAAAACAGGTGCTTCCAATATGAGTTGTTGAATTTCTCCAGGTAACAAAACTTTAAAAAGCAGGGGAGTTGCACATTCTTACCGCATAGCCGTCCAGCCACCGATCCAAGAATCCGAAATGTTAGAATAAAAAAATAAATGAAATAATAATCATAATAAATAATCATAGGCCTACCAAAATTGATTTTTCAATAATCACTAGATTTCATAACTTGATTTGCTGGAGGGAAAAAAGATGAATGATCATTGAGCTGCTTGGGTGTTTGTTATCTCTGTCATTATGGAAAAGTCAATAATGTTCTTACAATAAAATTATTTAACAGTGCATCTTTGTATTACTGCGCGAATGTAGTACCAAAACCATGACCTACAGGAATGGACCAAGCTCCAGGGAGCTGGGTTGGCTTTCAAACACTCAGGGGGAGATGGACGTCCTTGGATCTGATGGCGTTTAATGGGGTAGCGGAGATGGTAAGTATATGTAGACGTGTAAGCATTTAAGGAATAAAAGAAAGATCATGATTTCTAAATGAAGATTTGAGGGCGCGCCAAATTGTAATATTCATGGTATTCATCATTATTTTTTCAGTTGAATGGAAGAAAGAATCGATGCAATTTTTGAAAAAGATAACTTTACCTATTACATTGTCAAAACATAACTTTTTAACTCCAAGCCGCCCCTTACCCGTCGATTCCACTGTTCCAGAGAGGTAAACTATTATTTCGTACTTTTCAGAACTCAGATCTGCTGGGCGGATGTCGTAAAGTGGGCTGTCCTTGTCTATGATGTGCGTCAATATGATTGGCCACATCAGGAAAACACGATCGCCCATGCCGTTGGCTGAAAACTCGCAGTTGAATTGGTACAGCGGGTAGTAGGCGCCCTCTTCCGTCGAATGTCTGCGGACCACCATTCCTGATATGCAGGCGTCCACGAGATGGGACTTTCTTAAATCTCCGACACGAATCTAGAAAATAGCGGATTTCAAATGATTATTTAGATTTTTTAAAATGATTTTTGTGTTATTGTGTGAGACAGAGAGACAGAGGGAGAGACAGAGAGACACATAGAGAGATACAGACCGAGAGAGACAGGCAGGGGCAGAGAGAGAGAGACATAGAGGGACAAAGAGAGACAGATAGTGATACAGAGAGAGAGAGGGGGGGAGAGAGAGAGGGAGAGAGAGAGGGAGAGAGAGAGGGAGAGAGAGGGGGAGAGAGAGAGAGAGAGAGAGAGATTCCTGCATGTCGCTTGCTCCTCAAGATCAAGATTTAAAAATGATTCGATGAACTTTGCAGCATGTTCGAAGAGATGTCTTGGTCACCTCTGTAGAATGCCACCAAGCCTCACGTTCAAGGACGGCTTTGAGAAGAGGAAACGGAAAGCAGGAAAAACCAACGAGACCTTACAGCAGAACTGAGTAAAAAGCAAGAAATCGTTGACACAGATAGCTGACCCTGACGATGAAGACAGACCCATTTTATTACAATTCAGGGGCATTTCATTAAGGTCGGCGTTGGATGACGGAATACTCGAATCGAACAACGTCCAATGACCGACCAGCACGCGTTCTTCTCCTTCTACCTTTTTTTCACCTCGCTTACTAGAGCTTTTTTTTTTCATGGCTTACACGAAAAAGTGATATTTAACCAATACACGTTTAGTGCGTGCGAAAATAATTAGCACAGGGACTTTGTTTGCTACCTGTAGAGATCATCGGATATATCTTTCTTTTTTTTTTAATGAACCCACCGTTTTAGAGGATATATTTTGATTATGACACATTTGATTATTGAATGTAGAATTCAGAATGTAATTTCCTTTATTAAAATAACGTTTCAAATTATTTTTTTTTAAATTTAACTTTCCACACAAAAAATCTTTCAATATTGTGACTGAGGACGATAAAATTATCTTGGTGAGATCAGACATAACTTCTTTTTTTACGTTTTTGTTTTAAATCTACTCCTATTCCGTTTTAGGTCATTTCACGGGGCCGATTCCCCCCCCCCACCAAAAACCACACCACCCCCCAATTTCCTCTATAATGACATAATAAACACCACCTTCCGTTGACTGTTGGCGTGGCTATGAGTTGTAACAGCCTGTTGCCACATTGTCTGGGCGTAGGTCATCAGATCGTCGGACGGACGGCTGCTAGCAGCTGCGCTGCCATTGTTTGCACTACACGACCTAAGAGAAATATGCCCCAACATACCATAGGCGGATTCGAGTTTGGGTGACCTCTGACGCGCCCAACTCTACTCTTACGATGGTCGCATGTTGGTGGTAACACGGAAAGATAAGTTCATTTCGAGTAGACGCCATGGCTGTGTAATATATCATGAGGTGCTCCTAACAGAGATTTCTCCAAACACCCTCTACGAAACTTCAGATTTGTTTTTAGAAACGCCACTGGGCAAAAATAGTGCATAACATCTATGATATACGATTGTTGTTGTTTTTTGTTTTTTTTACTGAGCATGCACATATCTCATGTTTGTGGTCGACGCGTGTATCTCACGATGAAAAATGGCTCTCTACTCAACGACAGCGGTGGGATTTACAGAACAACAAAAAAAAAAAGTTGTGCTCATTTTTGTTTTCAGGAATGATACAATTTTACCACCCTAACTGCGATGTAGGGTTGGCTGCTCCGTCGAGGTTGGGGGGAAAGGGGGGGGGGGGGAGAAATTAAAGATGAAGTGCGTACAGGTGTTGTCTATTGGTCAGATAAAGGGACTGAGTGTAAACGTTCAAATATTCAGAAAACATTGTCATCTTTAATCAGCTAAAGACTTTCCCATCTCATCCTGTAACAAACAAAACAAAACAAAAAACAAAAAAAGTGAAAATATGTGAACAGAAAACTAATTTCTACTAAATGTTAAAAGCGCGACGGAGAGACTTTTGAATTNCTCATATATATATATATATATATATATATATATATGTATAGATATATGTATATATATATGTATATATATATACTAGCCGATATACCCGGCGGTGCCCGGGATTGCATTAGGACCAAATCATGGTGTGACCCCCCGATCCCATTGGGACCCCGATGCCACTGGGACCTTAATCCCATTCTTACATCGATCCCGGCACAGTCCCGTTTGCCGATGTAATCCCGATCCCGGTGGATCCATTCAAGGTAATAATCCCGATCCCGGTGGTACTGAGAGAACAGTAAACTCCGGGGCAGTAGAGAAATGAATAGAACTAACTAACATTTTAATAATTACTTAGATCCCACTATATACCTCCTTGTAACGATTTAAAACTTTATGGAATATTCTACATTAAATTTAATAACCTGCTCGAAACATGGGTAAAAACTTTGCTAATTATTTTTTTAAATACGATAAACGTCTTCCACAGATGCTATAATTATAATCCTTTTTCTTTTAAGTTAGTCAAGGGGCCCCGGGGGCCCATTCCATAACTGTACCGATTTAGTTATGTCTGAGATAGGGGGCCCTATAAATATCAGATGGATAAATGATAGAGTTAAAATTTAAAATTGGGCCCATTCAAATCTACTTAAAAATGCCATAGATACAGCTTTTTTTTTTAAATGATCGAACCTTCTGGAAAATTATAGAATGGATAGTATAAGTTTTAAATCCACCAATTTTTCAATACAGACCATGAAGGGTATTGCTACCACGCTAGGCCTATATCCATAAATTCACATAGAAGCTATACTGTTGTCTAAGCCTATTGCTATGGCTTATATAAGAAAAAATGAAATAGGGCCCCCGGCCCCAGACGAATGAATATTATGAGTTCAGTACCCTTCGGTATATGAAGATGGATAATAAAGAGTATGTGTTCTAAGTTTAGTCAAGATTCATCCATTAGTGTATGAGTGTTTGTTTCTAATTATTTTTATATAGCTCATATAATGCCAGCCCCAAACCGAATGTTATAAAAAGTTCATAACTCCTTAAGAGTTCCTTCTGGATAATGATGGATGTATGTGCCAAGTTTGTTCAAGATCCATCGATCCGTGTAAAAGCCTTTGTGGAACAAGCAGACCCACAAACAAACGAATCCACAAACTTTCCCTTTTATAAATATATGATATATATATAATTCATATGTATTGTGTTACAGAGTGTCTCATTGTATAGTTTTTGTTGTTGTTGTTTTTGTTGTTTTTTTTTTTTTTTTTTTTTTTTTTTTTTTTTTTTTTTTTTTTTTTTTTTTTTTTTTTTTTTTTTTTTTTTTGTGTCTTGTTTCCACAAAGGGCCTCACAAAACTCAATCCGCCTCCGGTTACCATTGTAATTAAAATCTACAGCCGCACGAACGTGCTGTGTTTCTTTTAGATAGATTTTTTCGCAAAGCCAACAGAGTATAACTTTCAACTAAGTATGTTTCGAAATAGGCATTGCAAAGATCTACGAGAGGTCGAATGAATTAAGACATGTCACCAAAAACTGAGCTGCGTACCAAATCTGTAACCTAGAATCCACGATCAGAAGAGTATAAAGTACTTCGAGCTGAACGGTGGGGAAAATAGTATCTTTTATTTAAAGTCGTACCATTGTAAACATTCTACCATCATACCTGAAGTACCAGCTGTCCGTTCTCCTGGTTGACTATGGCATGTTTCGAGAAAAGTATGGTGTTGGCGCGGTATTTAGGGCGTGCAATTTTCACAAAGATGAAGCCCAGCATGAATGTCTCTATCATGAAACCTAGAACAGCCTGTAAGTTCATTTTAAAAAAGGTATGTGATATTTTTAAAAAACAACTTAACAATAACAAGCACATCGAATATGAAAAAGACTAGAACTATCTGTTGGAAATTGTCCGAAAAAAAAATAAAAACTTTTTTTTTAAATTGAGATGCATGTATGGAAGGTTTTTTTTTTTAAGTTTATGAAATATAATTACTTTATAATAGACCTTTATCAAATATCAAGAGACAAAGACGCCTTTGAAAAGTCATCGGATATCAAGAAACTTAGAGTGCTTTGTCGAAAGTCATCAAATGTCAAGGAACATTGAGTCCTCTGTCAAACGTCATCAAATATCAAGACACATATAGTCCACTGTCAAACGTCATCAAATATCAAGACACATATAGTCCACTGTCAAAAGTCATCAAATATCAAGAAACATAGACCCCTGTCAAAAGTAATCAAATATCAAGAAATATAGTCGCCTGTCGAAATTCCTAAAAAATGTCCTTTGTCAAACTTCATCAAATATCAAGAAACAAAGTCTCCTGTCAAACGTCATCACATATCATGCAACTTAGAGCTGCCTGTGAAAAGACATTGGAATTGAAGAATTCAAAAGACACCCTTTGAAATTCATGAAATATCAAGAAATCTAGAGCCACCTATGGAAATTCATCAAATATCAAGAAATCTAGGGCCACATTTGGAAATTCATCAAATAATCAAGAAATCTAGAGCTATCTCCGGAAAAACATCAACTATCAAGATATCTAGAGTTACCTGTGTAAATTCAACAAATATCAGAAAATCTAGAGCTATCTCTGGAAACACATCGAATCTCAAGAAATCTAGAGCTACCTATCGAAAGTCATCCAATATCAAGAAACTGTGGGAATGGTGGGGGAAATACCCCTCCCCCACCTTTGCTGTAACGACACTCTCACCTGTAGGTACATCAGCGGTAGTGTGGCAGCGCAGTCGGCATTAGGGTACGCCATCCCGTACCCGATGGTCGTCTGCGTCTCTAACGAAAACAAGATGGCCCCCGGAAACGACTTGACCCCGAGCAGGCAGAAGTCGTGCTTGGGGTTGTCCAGGTTGTCGAAGTCGCCGTTGTTGTAAGCCATGAGCCACCAGAAGATGGCGAAGATCAGGAAGCTGACCAGGAACATGTTGAAGAGGATGGCGAAGGCGTAGCGCCACTCCAGGTCTATCATCGTCACATACAGGTCGGCCAGATATTTTCTCTTGTGCTGACCCAAACCGGCAAGATAGACCCTATTGGTGATTTATGATTTGGGGGGGGGGGTATAAACAATTTAGAAAACTATTGGGACTTTTATTATATTATATTGGATTAAAACTAAACATTGGTACTAATACTACATATTGAGAATTTTGATTTTAAAAAAAGTGTTGTTTTTTGTTTAATAAGGCACAGTCTACCAACAGTGGACACATCTTTGTCCTGCCCACTGCCCAAGATACTATTTATCTTTGCATAGTGAACGTTTTTTATAAACACGTGTATTTTCTATTGGTAGGCCATAACCCGTTCTCGAGGCCATTTTAGCCCTAGCAAGATGAGCCTCGGAGCCATTGTAGCCCTAGCAAGACGAGTCTCGGAGCCATTGTAGCCCTAGCAAGACGAGCCTCAAAGCCATTGTAGCCCTAGCAAGACGAGCCTCGAAGCCATTGTAGCCCTAGCAAGACGAGCCTCGAAGCCATTGTAGCCCTAGCAAGACAAGCCTCGAAGCCATTGTAGCCCTAGCAAGACGAGCCTCGAAGCCATTGTAGCCCTAGCAAGATGAGCCTTGAAGCCACTGTAGCCCTAGCAAGACGAGCCTCGAAGCCATTGCAGCCTCAGCAAAACAAGCGCAGAATAAAAGTCCACTCTTCTTTTATTTTTATTGAGGCCTGGGGGGGGGGGGCTTGCATTGGGGTGACACTAGTGGCGTAGCTAACATAAGTGTCGCAAGCGGTGAGGCAAAAATTTTTGCCCCCCCCCTTTCACGAAACCCCCCACCTCTTCCGTTAGCCCAAAAGGGCCGCCCCCACCATTATAAAATAACAGAGGGCTGACGCCCTCTAACACCTCACGAATGAAGGCGCTGAGCTCAGCCCTCGAGTCTACCACACGTGGTGTGTGTGGGTGTCTGGGAATCCGTGAGCTTTGATTTCCTTCATATCTTAAGATTATACATTTAAAAGCTAAGAAGCCGTCTGGTGCCTTCATCTGACTGGCAGAGTGGTCCATGGAACACGAAAAAGTTTAAGAGTCCCCCTGCACAACCTGTGCATCTTTTAGTCCTGACCAACTTGTACATCATTTAGCCATGCACAACCTGTACATCATTTGGCCCTGACCAACCTGTACATCATTTAGCCCTGACCAACCTGTACATCATTTAGTCCTGACCAACCTGTACGATCCATTTTTCTTGACCAGCGCCTTCCGCTTGTCCTCGGGGTCAACTCTGTGGCAATATTTGTGCAGGGCGCAGCACTTCAGCTTCACCTTTTCCCACCATTTTTTCTGTTTTGGGGTGACCTCATCCGGGTCAGCAAACAGGAAGAGGGTCCCGCCCACTTCTGTCTCACGAGAGGTTGCCGGCTGAGCCATTCTGGAAAAAAAAAAAAAGTTTGTATATCTTCAATATGATTATTTTTTTTTAGGCAGGAGTTGCGCCATTTAAAGTGATGCGGAGTCGGCGCTAAGGGAAGGCGAAGTGGGCGACCGCCCAAGGCCCCCACGCGTTGCCTACTAATAGTTCCTAATCCAGTTAACACAATATTCGGAGTTATTAGAAAGTCAAATGGTCTGAAGGTCAGTCTGGCAATTTAACTGTATAGAAAAAAAAACGAAATTTCGGAAACTAAGCCAGTGAGCTAACATCCGTTATGACGCGTCCCATTGTGACCAGCAAGGACCTAGTACGACGATAACGTGTCCTAATATCCTATCGGTGGACTATATAACATCAACGGCCGCGCAAAATTCAATTTGCCCAAGGCCCCGCACCCTCCTAGCGCCGGCCCTGAGCGGTGGCGAGCTAAACAAGTAAATCTCCACGAATCGTTCTACGTCAATGGCACGCTACCCCGTCGCAAAATATGTACAATCGAATATAAAGGGAAAAGGGGCGCATATCAAATAACACAAAAATATCACATTTTTCCCGCCCCTTACCTTTATAACGTTAAATAACATTTACATTGACCACCATCCCCCCAATATTATATAACATTTCTAGGAACGGCAAACCCCAACCCTATATTCTAAAACAGAATTAAGTCAGGAAACGAGGTGAAACTGGGAAATTACAAGCAGCAAAGAGCAAGATATTATTTTTAACAAAAATGTGTTAATAATTTAAAGCTAAAAAAAAAAAAAAAAAGGTTTTTTTTTAATAATCTAGGCTGAGTTAATAAATTTGAAAAGCCAAAATTTTGCAAAAATTATAATAATAATAACAATTTTTTTCATAAAAAATTTTTTCTACCACGCCCACCCCATTTATCACAATATTAAAAAAAAAAAATTTAAATACCCCTAAACTGAGAAATTACAAGCAGCAAAAAACAAAATATTATTTTTAAAAAAAATTTTTTAATAAATTAAAACAAAAAAAAAAAAAAAAAAGGTTTTTTTTTAATAATCTAGGCTGAGTTAATAAATTTGAAAAGCCGAAATTTTGCAAAAATTATAATAGTAATAACAATTTTTTTCATGAAAAATTTTCTCTACCACGCCCACCCCATTTATCACAATATTACAAAAAAAAAATTTAAATACCCCCTTTGCTACATGATATGTGCACGGTTCCTATCAGCACACGTATAGTATGGTACAACAGTCTTTTATTACCAGACGTATGGTACAAAAGTCTTTTATTACCATGCGTATGGTACAAAAGTCTTTTATTACCACACGTCTGGTACAACAGTCTTTTATTACCATACGTATGGTACAAAAGTCTTTTATTACCATACGTATGGTACAAAAGTCTTTCATGACCACACGTCTGGTACAACAGTCTTTTATTACCATGCGTATGGTACAAAAGTCTTTCATGACCACACGTCTGATACAACAGTCTTTTATTACCGTGCGTATGGTACAAAGGTCTTTCATGACCACACGTCTGGTACAACAGTCTTTTATTACCATGCGTATGGTACAAAAGTCTTTCATGACCACACGTCTGGTACAACAGTCTTTTATTACCATACGTATGGTACAAAAGTCTTTCATGACCACACGTCTGATACAACAGTCTTTTATTACCATGCGTATGGTACAAAAGTCTTTCATGACCACACGTCTGGTACAACAGTCTTTTATTACCAGACGTATCGTACAAAATTATTTTACGACCATGGCCAGATATATAATAATTAGCACATATCTATATACCGTATATTACCAAAGCTGACGGAAGTAATGAGATTTTTTTTCCCTCCAACAAGATCAAGAAACGCTTTTGTACAGCTCCACAACGTGAACGATGTAAAGTGCGCACCACTCCGGCTTGCTCCGCGTGCGAATTGTGCACGTGCGTATGTGCATACGAATGTAATAACAATAAAAAAAATTCCATGCTGAATTTTTAAAAAAAAAACACTTAAATAATTAAAAAATGGATGTTATAAATTAAACTCTAAAAAAAAATTGCTTCAAAAACAAGTTTCCCGTGTTCAATTGGTGGGAAATTAATAGAAGGTGGGGAAAAAAAACAACATAAACTAATTAGAAAAGATGTCAAAAACCCATCTCACACACAAGAAAAGCAACCGCAACACCGGGTCAGGTCACACACTATTGACCCACAGACATTCAGATCTCGCTGTTAGATAGATAACTAAACTATCGCATACTTCCAACCAATCACAGGCCGGCGTTCGTCTTAACTCTCAGGCTTGTCTCAATGACTTGTCCTTGTTTAAATAGTTCCACTTTTTAAAAAAAAAATTTAAAGTGGTTCTGAAATGGTTTTAATTCTATTTGTTCAAATGTAATTACAGAGAGAGTTCAACAGTATTAAATGAATATGGGTGCTGGGTGGCCGAGTGGTCTAAACTGGCTCAATCAAAATAGTGGTGGTGTGGCCAGTCTGGAGTTCAAAGCCCGCCAAACTCTGGGCCCTCAAATTAAGAAGAAAAAAAAACTGTTAACATTGTTAAAATGTATTTAACTAGCTGTTATATTGAAATAGTTTGTTTTCTGATGTTCAAAAATTTTGAAGAGTAAAAGAAATAGTAATGATTCAGCGATGTAAATAATGAAAATCAAATTATAAGAAATACCTTCACACACGAAAGATTCCAAACGCAGTAGGAATGAGGAAAACGCTTGAGAGAGAGCCAGTGAAGAGCGCGCACAAGCGACAGCCTCGCTTTCATATCCGGAAAAGCCTTTTTTCCGCAATTTACACATTTGTGTTAATTTTTTTTTCTCTTCGAACCAGCTCAGTGTAACTCTACGCACTTATTTTAGCACACAAGAAACATTTTAATGGACATACACACTTAAATATAAAAAGTAAAGTCTTGATTGTTACCTGCCCTTTCCTTCCATCATACCCCAGGACTCGTGTGTTTTCGCTTAAAATGTTCAACACTCTATTCCCCCCCCCTCCTCTACACACACACACTTTTTTCTCATAGCTTTTTCGACCAGTCAGGGGCGTAGGCACTTTACCTAATTTCTTAATCGTTTTAGACCCCTCCTCTCAATTTAAAAAAAAAATATATATCATTCAAATGGTTGACCTTGTTAGCTGTCATGTAGGAGCCCCCCCCCCCAACCCACAATTAACGGATTCCGTAAAGCGCATGTTTACAGAGAGAATCGGGAGCCCCTAATCGTCAGAACTCAAAGTCTCCGAAATTGAAAAAAAAACAAAAACAATTTAAGAGTTTAAGAGCTCGCCCCACCCCACCCCACCCTAACATCAAACATTCTTCGGCTTTCAAAAATACAATTTTAACTTTAACCTCCCATCNAAAAAAAAAAAAAAAAAAAAAAAAAACAGTCTTCTGATTGACTTGTCTATCCTTAAAACAAGCCCTGACATGTTTTAGAGCTGCCCGTAACCCGATTCAACTGCTGTCATTCAAGACGACAGCCGTCGATCCCATCCCGCCCGCCCCCTCCCCCAACCCTTCTATATTCCAAGGGACCTCTAAATTAGGAAATTCTTTGAGACCCGTCTGTGCCACGGTCCCACCACTTTTACAGACGTCATGTCAGAAGAAATGAGACGAGATCCATCATACAGACCGCAGTAGGTATGCACATAGGCTAATGACTGGTCTTTGAACAATCCTACCATGACAGAGACACTTCGTCTGACCGATCTGTTCTTTCTCTCAATACTCTATGGCCATTGGTTCTCACGCGGGAAAGACAGCATATTGCATTTCAGTGGGTCTCAACATTTTGACGAAAATTCTCAATTTTTATTTTATTTTAAATGTTAGATTATTATTTTTTTTTACGTATGAAGGAGACTTTACAAAAACCAGATTCTATTACTGAAGGTTGATAGTTTAAAAATATGTTTCTTATTCAAAATAAGGTTGAATTCGAGTTTAATATATTTGTTTTGAAAGTGAAAGCTTTTAGGCTTACGTCAAGATTACAAGCCGTAGTTCTTAGTGGAGAATTGGGGGTCAATGACACCCGTGGCGCCCCTCAAGTGCAGAACATCAAACATTAAACTTAACTTACATTTTGTTAAATTTGCTATTTTTTATCAACGTGCACGCCCCATTGTCATCCCCCACTCCAAACAAAAAAGGAGTAACGCCCTTCCCGTCTGTAGTCAATACACTGGTCAGGGGCGTAGGTAAAAGGGGCAGTGCTCGGACGGGGCTGTTTTATGGAAAGTAGTAGGGGGGGGGGGAAGGGGTGGCAAAAAGCTTGGCCCTCTTCGGGGTGGCACTAACTCTAGCTACGCCACAGGCTAATGGTAGTTTTTTTTTTTTCTTTTCTTTTTTTCGGAATATTTCAGCCCCACAATGTTCCGAATCCCTTGTTTGATACATGAACATTTTCAATGCTATCATTTATAGTATAAAAAATATTTAAAATTTCAGTTTTCATATTAAGTGGGGTTTTTTTTATTAAATTTTTTTTTAATTGTATGCGCTGAACGGCAGAACACAAGTAAGACTTTTATTTTAGAACAGTAAACATTCACCGAAACACGTCATTCTTTAAAAAAAAAAAAAAAAATTTACCCAAAAACAAATTTTACAGTAACGTGATCACTGTCATTGACCACTCCCTTACCTGTCAATGATGTCATTGGTTTGATGGGTAGCCCGGACATTGTCAATATACTCCAGCACGGTCATAGCTGTGAAAGTACTCGAGGCCTTACCTCGACACGGGCTAACTGCGATGGTGCCCAAGTGACCAGAGGTTCTCAAACAAGAATTGAGTGGGGCAACGTTTTCATCATAAGCGGTATCCAATAAATCCTCCGCAAAAAAAAATACACAAGGGTGGATCTAAATCTACAAAGAACATAATGGGATTTGTCGCAGGGATCAGATGAATAATTTGGGGGTCAGGGTTTAGGGATCAACAGTGTAACGCCAGATCCATCTTCAGTGAAGACGGGAAGATAAGAATGTCTAAGTTTTCCCAATACGACCCACGCATGAGTTAGAAATGCTCACATTACAAAATTATTTCTCACGCTTGACTAAACTCAAATGTAGGTTGTTCTTTTTTTTTTTTTTTTTACAGAAATTAAATCCTAATTCACTCATTAATATCATTATAAAAAGTATCTTTGGTGTGGAAGGCAAAAAAATTTTTTGTTTAATGAATGTTAAGTAGAAATAAACTTGGGAGTTTGAGGATCACTTCCTGCCCCCCTTGGTCTATTTACAGACACCAGATGGCGTTGGTGAGTAATTGCCTGTTGTATAATGTTTGAGCTGTTGTTGAAGCACGGTTAATTCTGCCCCATTTTTCACGGGGTTTGGGGGGGGGTGGTGGTGTCAAAGGTTAAAATGATCATGTTTCAGACTGCAGACTGCTTTTGTAATTTGGAATATGGAAGAGCCCATAGCCTTATTTGTGGCGAGATTCCAGGCGAACGTGGCTCATTGAAGGCTATAAGGGCAAAATGAAAATACGTCTGGGTTACAACTTGTCATAATAAGGGGCACCAAAATAGCATGGGGGCCACCATAAAAACACCAGGCGCGTGTCAAAATTTGACTATTTGGGGCCCACTAAAAAAAAGAAAGATTTCTGTTCACTTCGAAACAAACAGACGAGATCTTTCGTTACTTCAATTGCGCATCTGTTTTAAAAAATTGAATATGGCGGCTTCAGGTCTTCGATCACGGCCACGGAACTCACCACAAGGGCCATTGTGATTACAACTGTTGCTTTTTTTCTAATTGTGAANGGGGGGGTATTCAATATTGTATCAAGGGTAGAGTGTTCCGTTCTCTCAAAATTCAAAAACAGAGAATCGGGTATTTTGACGAAGACAACATTTTGTATCAATACATTGTTATTTAGCTTAGTGCAGTTAGTCCAGATACCAATACATTTGGTAGGCAATGGGTTAAAGCAAGGGGGGGGGGGGCGAATGTGAGTCGAAAGATTTGTTCAATGATGGGATCAAAAGCTGTGAGCAAGTCTATGGTCTGGATGAGGGGAAAAAAAGTCGAAATCAATATTATAAGGCTGCGGCTATTCGGACCCGGGTCCGAGAAGTTAGAGTTTGGGTTTATTAAAAAAATATTTAAAAATTATTGTAGGGTTTTAGTATGACAAAATTTGGTTTCAAATGAAAGATAATTGAATGGACTATATGTTTGTAAACTTACCTCTTAAGTTTAACTAAAATAAACAACCACAAATGACATCCGAATAGCATTGAGCCAAAATGGAACCGGACAATCATCGCCGCTATTCGGACCCGGGTCCCTTTAGACCCAATGCTATTCGGATGTAATTTGTAAATTTGTACATTTAAATTTTTTTACAGATTTCTTCTTTCGGCATTGCTACTAACATGGCAATCACCTCTGTCGCTTCACTGATACCCACCCCCCTTCTTTCCGTGCATGTCATCCTTAAATATCTCCCCCACCCCATTAACCCAACATCAATTTGGGGGCCCCCCGGCTCCTCTCCGTTATGAGCTAACTGCCTACCTTCTCCCAAGATTCACCAATCAGGTATTGAAGAAGCTGTCACGTGGTAAAAGGATCATGCGACAAGGATCGATGTCCTCTTCCCTCACCATTAAGACAATAACACAAGGGAGACAATGTCGGTAGGAGCGTTTTCACCCGTTTTCCACTTGGTAAGTTTCTCGTTGTTCTTTCGCGTCTGCTTTACTGCCCCAGGGGGTCGGAGGAGAGGGGGTGGGAGTGGGGGTGCACGCGAATCGCTCAGCATGACCCCCACGATTTAATTCCCGAGTTTTACGTCATGACATAAAAACATAACACCGGAAAATAGAACTGGGTCTGTGACAATTCCACTTTTCATCCTTGATAATAGCCGGCTAATTAACGCGCAACACATGGTGGGTTTTTAGGGAGGGGGGGGGGACGACGACAAAATAAACTATTCGTAAGCATCAAGGTATAGAAAAGAAACGAGGCGAAACAGTGCCGATGTTACATGTTTGTTTCTTTAATCTTAAAAACTATGATGTCCTAGTGGATGCATTTTTAAAAACAAAACAATAAATGCTCACATTACAAAATTATTTCTCACGCTTGACTAAACTCAAATGTAGGTTGTTCTTTTTTTTTTTTTTTTTACAGAAATTGAATCCTAATTCACTCATTAATATCATTATAAAAAGTATCTTTGGTGTGGAAGGCAAAAAAATTTTTTGTTTAATGAATGTCAAGCAGAAATAAACTTGGGAGTTTGAGGATCACTTCCTGCCCCCCTTGGTCTATTTACAGACACCAGATGGCGTTGGTGAGTAATTGCCTGTTGTATAATGTTTGAGCTGTTGTTGAAGCACGGTTAATTCTGCCCCATTTTTCACGGGGTTTGGGGGGGGGTGGTGGTGTCAAAGGTTAAAATGATCATGTTTCAGACTGCAGACTGCTTTTGTAATTTGGAATATGGAAGAGCCCATAGCCTTATTTGTGGCGAGATTCCAGGCGAACGTGGCTCATTGAAGGCTATAAGGGCAAAATGAAAATACGTCTGGGTTACAACTTGTCATAATAAGGGGCACCAAAATAGCATGGGGGCCACCATAAAAACACCAGGCGCGTGTCAAAATTTGACTATTTGGGGCCCACTAAAAAAAAGAAAGATTTCTGTTCACTTCGAAACAAACAGACGAGATCTTTCGTTACTTCAATTGCGCATCTGTTTTAAAAAATTGAATATGGCGGCTTCAGGTCTTCGATCACGGCCACGGAACTCACCACAAGGGCCATTGTGATTACAACTGTTGCTTTTTTTCTAATTGGGAATCTTGACATTACTGTTTTGTGTGGCCCGGAAGGAGGGGGGGGGGGTATTCAATATTGTATCAAGGGTAGAGTGTTCCGTTCTCTCAAAATTCAAAAACAGAGAATCGGGTATTTTGACGAAGACAACATTTTGTATCAATACATTGTTATTTAGCTGAGTGCAGTTAGTCCAGATACCAATACATTTGGTAGGCAATGGGTTAAAGCAAGGGGGG